CGGCAGTTTTGTAACGGAAGCCCGAATGCATAATTACTTCTATTATTGGAGTATACAATTTGCTAACTAATGGAGAAACAGTATAATTTCCGTACCAAATATAGTATTTTATCGTTTCGTTGGTGGCACAGTGCGCTGCAGTGAGTGCACAATCCTTAGCTATCATGGATGCTGTGCACCTTCTAATAAAACCATGTTCACGTTTATTGCTTGCGATAAGCACCACGACTACGAATGGATACTCGCCGTCCTTGACATCGTTCCCTTTATTAATTCTGGATAATTGATCACCGAAGTTACATGTCAATAAAGTGAATGCTACCAGTGATTTGAGCATACTGCCGAACGTCAGTACTAGTCAATATAAGTCGTTAAGTTTTTTTTTTGCATTTTTACGAGTATGTAATACTCTAATCATGTAGTTGCATAACTTATTGCCGTTTTAAAGCCACTAGATTTAGAGAACATTAAGAGAATGTGAAGATTTTAATTTCGAACACATGCAGTTTTATGTGAATAAACCAAGTAAGAATTAATGACACTTAAATAGTTAATGTTCATGGATGCTGATCACTTCCCGATGGAAGTCTTTCGGAGAGAACTGTGTAAAGTAGTAGAACTTTAGTGCTGCGGATAAATGGAGGATTTTATATGGTTAAATGACCCTTCCACCTCCTCCTTTGGTAGCACGACTGCTGCAAAAGAGGAAACGGGTCGCCAGTTCGCCTCTCGCTCCGTACCATGGCCTCAACTAATGCCGGCTGATTACTTCCCGGAGGACATGGCGGTGCTTAGCCCAGGCTGGGAACACTGCTACCATAATCTCCACCGTATTCTCCAGGATGTCTCCACATTGAAGAGACGCAGGCGTTTCTCTCCGTCTGATCTGAAACTCCTGAAGCTGCTAAAACTATACGCAAGGTTGAATTGCCGGTGACGATAAAGAAGTGCCATGATACTTTCATGTCCTTTGTCAGCCTGTAATACAATTCTTAATGTGGCAGAGCCACGCTTTGGCATCAATGTTTCGACAGTATGAGCCAGATTATCGGGGGTTTTAATTCGCGCCCAGTACTCAATACCAAAATCCTATTATCCTCAACTCCTCAACACCAACCAAATACCGGAAAAACACTCGTAACTTATGGTTGTCCATGAGTTGCGTTGATTGTTCAGATGATCATTAAAATATTGATGTATGCCTGAATTCAATGAGTAAAATTTAAATAAAGAAATAAAGAAAGAAGAGGGTTTCAACCATGGGAATCAAAACAAGTCGATTCGAAGAAAGAAAGAAGATATCGGAGATCGCCATATAGAAAGGATGTGTGTAAGCAAAAGACTTATAAATATATAAAAAATAAATGTTTCTATACATTTTATCATTTTAAAGCACCTTTTTAACATTCTAGTTCCTTTCGATAAATTAAGTAGGTAGGTACAAAGACTTTTAAAAAATTTTTGACAACTGACACTCGCGCTTATGGTTAGTGAAGTTATCATGAAGGAGGTTTCCTTACCTCCTTGATTATCGTTCTTGTTTAGTTTCATATTTACCCATGCTTGCAAATCTTCTTATAACTGAAGACACATTAAAGCTCGTAAATGTGTACTATAAATTCCGGAACTATATATTTCCATCTATTTATCAGTAGTATATGTAGTGTTGTAATTATGCCATTAAGTAATACCTGTGCCAAAAAGAAAAATATGAACAACAAGGACACGGACCACGAATCAGTGGAAAGGTAAAACCCGATAGTGTTGCAAGTTAGATGGCATACATGCGCTAACCGACCAATAGAAAACTCAATATATTGGAATGAAATTGACATGTATCAAATACTAACAGACCGTCCCTGCTTCGCACGGGTACCCGACTATCTTGGTGTCAATCATTTGTTTTTCAAGCGAATGGCCCCTGTGTTGAAGGGGTTGTTAATTAAGCTAGTAGCACATATAAAATATAATCTTTTACAAAACACATTTTGGTTCATAATAAAACGGTCTCTCAGTTTCACATTTATTCTTTATTTACTGAGTAAGAGACGACAGTGGATGAAATACAGAGTTTGTCATTTAGTCGTTAGACAGACAGAAGATAGCAGAAACCGTCAGATTCGTTCACATACAATTTTCCAAACCCTTTTCTTATCACAATTTTCTCGTTAAGTAAGTATAATTTCATAAAATTTTACCTTTAAGCATCCATCATCCACCAGATTTGACCCAGCGGATGTCAGCACTATAGTGCCCACCTCTCAATTTTCCTAAATACATTTTTTTTACAAAAGTTTAAAAGTATTTTGTGCTAAATATCAACAAAATAATAATGATGACATATGATTGTCAACGTTTATCATTAAAAATCAGTGCTTCGCTCAGTCATTGTACATTGTATATGTATATTATAGATACATATGTACAAGTCTGTCTCACATACCGTACTATACATATATTTTACATAACTATACTTCCATTTATCCCTTTCGCCAATATATCAGGCCTAATTCCCGTATCAAATCGTACGGCACATTTTAAATTTAAATAAACATTATTACAATTGTTTGATTAGGAAAACTTGATTTAATAGAATTGGAACGTTTGAGCAAAAACTACGTTTGATCACAGTGGAGAATACTGAGAGAATCATTCAATTATACAAGTTTTTCTAATAAAACAATCGTAATTATAATCTATGTACGAACGTACATTCTAAATTTTTCTTTTTTTTTTCTTTCATTCCCTTACCTAACTTTTCTTTGATATTTTAAGTGTCATGTTGAAGTGACACTTTTATTTAATTAAAGTAATAATTTCAGATTTTGAGCTCGATACTGGTTGGTTATATTATTAGACCGTGTTCTACAACGGACACTGACCAAATATAAATTCTGAAAGTTTCTAGAAGTAGGAGATTTGATAGATGTTTAGTTACACTTATTAAAAGGTTTGACGGACATTATTGATTGCATAATTATGATATTACATCACACACCTTAAGACTAAACTCATAAATTTAAATTGTTCGTTGAAATATACACACAAGTAATAACTTCCTGGGGTCGTCTCATTTATAAAATAGTTCTGACTGTTTTGAGACAAGTAAACATTTTCCAGTTTGTTAGGTTGGTAAACCTAGCGACGAACGTGCACCGTAATGTTGATATGACATGCGCGGGCAGCGTACCGCGCGTTCCCGCCTATTTAAAAAAAATAAAGGAGTGTGCCACAGATTAGCGAGTTTGATTGACGTATTGCATCGTTCCCTTTTTCCCGCGCAAATACATAATAAATTTTCAAATATTTCATAAGAAAATATCTTGTTAAAACCTTAATGGTTCTTTATCATAATTCGCGTCGCGCGGCGCCGCGACGTCACAACGCGCACACTGCTCATGAACAAGAGTATTGTCGAAGAAAGTCGTTATTTTAATACATTTAGGTAGTATGTCTCAAGACATCTACTACCTATACAAAAATTTAAAGAAATTATAGCAATAACTGTATGGATTTGATATTGAGTTTCATGTTTGATAGCCATTTGTTTAGAGTTCAAAACCTGAGCGTTTTTTATCTTAAAAAGTCAATAATATCCGTCATTCCTTTTCACTTAAATCTAACATTTGGCAAAGGTACAATGTAAGATTATATATAACATCATCGTTTATATACTAACACCACAAAATAATCTATATAATAGCATTGTAGTGAAAGTATTCTGGTTTTACTTTTAAATTCTTCCTATAGTTGGTATCTGTTTCTTGATTTTGAACTGAAACATGACATGAATAAAACGTCTTTTTGAATCTAAAGTCATCTTAACATCGTTGTAACATTTTAGTATATGTACAGTTTTATTAACAAAGGATTGGTATCAAAAAATCTTTGCAAAAATATCGCGGTGTTAGTACTTAAGCGACGATCTACTAAACACAACACTTAGACATAAAATGTTTTTACTGACGGATACCCTAAGTCAAGGTTTCCCAAGATGAGATCTAAAGACCTTTAAGGCTTTATAAGCCTATGCAAAAAAGTTTATCATTAAAATAAATAAATACAAAAGTATTGTAAAAAAAGTTAAAAAGCGTTATATTTTTTTTAACCTCGGTTGGTTAACTAAAAGTAAGGAAAACCCTGTTCTACACATCGTTTTAAAACATATCATTTAAAAACAACAACAAAAAGAAAAAGTTTTGTTCGTGACGTGACTTGCACGTTTAGTCATGATGTCTGCAAACGTATAACAACAAATAATGAACATAACAACACATTATAACGTATTTTATACTTAAATATAACACAACAAAATGTAATATACATGTTAGCCTCGCTTTTAATTTTACCGCGTGCTCTTGTTTAACGGCATCTACTCTATTTGTTCGTGTAACCAAATGCCAAAAATAAATAATCAAATAGAAAAATCAATAAACTTTGTTAAAAGTTGTCCGCCATATTGTCTTTTCTATTTGACTAGCACAAATAGGCTGGTTACGAGCACGAAACTGTTTTTAAAAATAGAATTTCTGTTACAAACCCGGCTTTTGAAATACAACCTTCTTCACTTTAAAAGAAGTCTTAATTTTCAATAGCCGGGTTCAAAGTGATTAATGAGACGTGTTTCCAAAATATGTGTTTTCATTTTGTTCATGATATTGATTGCTTTAATGTTGATTCGAAGACGGGAGGCAGCAGATGGCAGCGTCAATGAAGAGCAGATCGCGGTAAAATCTGGAAAAGAGAAAAAGTATTTGTTTATTTAAAATCAACATGATAACACATGCAAATTTCATTTTCTTTTTGTGGTACAGGAATGAATTAGCGACAACCTTGTTACCCACAACTTATATAAAAATAAAGTGTGAATTATTAAAGAGATCGGGATTTTGGTCAGGTTTGGTGCAGCAGTGCAAAAGGGTACAAAAAGTCACTATTCTATGTTTCAGAGAGACATAAAGAGATACATACTTATTATATTTTAATGTTCTTCGACTTTCTTAAGTTGAAGGCTCGTGCAGCACCACCAGGTGGGCTATTTTGTCCACTGTAAATATAATTAAAATATTCGTTATTACATATTATGTTAACTATTTAACAAATCATTTCAAGTTCACACATATTCATCAGATCCATACTTAGATCAACAATGTGCGAATCCTTATTCATAATAGCCAGTGAAAGAACTCTTTTTATAGGTCGCCAAACGCGCCAATGCCACCCATTGACACCAGCAAGACTAGTTACGAATGCGTTGCCGGTCTTTTAAAGATAAGGGTTTTGGGTTTTCTGCCAATGGTGTGGAATCTATAGCAGATGTGATTGTGTTTTGTTTTTTATTTGTGCTTTCTTTTTTTAAAAAACCAACACAATCATTTATGTGCCTTGGACGTGCCGGACTTCAGTGTGGCACGTGTACAACACTTGCAGCGTCGATATTCCGTGTCTGGGGCTGATGGGCATGTGGAACTTCTATGTTTGATCATAAGAGAACGTTTATAAAAATCGTATACATACATGTAGCCTGCTGCATTGAAATCTTGTTGCAAGCAGCATACACCTCGATGCGGATCGATTTGAACTCTGGAATTTAAAACATGAAATATGTTAAGAAAAAGTTAATTTCACATAGCAACATTTCAGCTGTCTTCAACTTAGAAGTCTTCAAAAAGAAGGTTTAGAAACTTATAACTACCTACGTTAAGTTTAACAATTCTTACTTGAAACTTATAGCATAACAGATTCAAACCATATCTGTACACAAACAAAGTCTAAATTCCAATGGAAAAGCTGATATAGAATGGTATGTATAAGGCAGGAGACCAGCAGACGTAACACCTGATGGTGATCTACTGGCGCCGTCTGTGGACACCCACAACACCAGAGACAAGTAGGTTTGCATCTTTTTCAGGATTTGGGGATTGGGGAAGAATGGCCTGTTGCTCACTGTACATACTAATGTTATAGAAGCCGAAGAGTTGTTTTGTTTGTTTGAACGCGCTTATCTTCCGAACTCATAGTTCGAATTGGACATCTCTTTTTGTGTTCGATAGTCTACTTATTGAGGAAGGCTATAAAATATCACGCAAAGATCTGTAGGAGCCGAGCAGCGAGTGAAACCGTGCGAGAATAATCAGTAATAAAATAAATTAGCCTTACCATCAGGGGTAAGATGGGCCTTTGTGTAGTTGAGGACCTCCAGGTAAGTTGGATCCCGTATCTTCTCCATATCAATACACGCTTCAGCGTACAGGCGGCGGTAGTTATCTGAAAATGAGACGTAAAGGTATATGTATTGTTTTGTTTTTATAACTGTAAATAATATTGAACGTTATAGCTAACAGAACACAGTCTATTTTGCAAAGCTCGCTTATAATATAAACTAGTGTTTTTTATGTCTTGTTTACTTCTGGGGTTGTGGGAATAGAGTTAACTTTAGTCAGTCTGATATTGCCTGCCACATTACAAAAAAATATGTGTCAGTTTAAAATTTTTCCTTATAATAGAATTGTTAAAGAAGCAAATAAGTATTTTATTAAAAATCCGCATTTACTTATTATCATCGACAGGTAATCAGTAGCGTACATATTCTGTATAACACTCCTAGCTTATAGCTAACCACAAACTCCTCAACAATATTAAGATATTTCAAAAAACCCAAAAAGTACCAGTGAATCGATCCCGTATACCCCTAGAGCCTTCTGTCATGCTCCATACGGACTGTTTATGTTTACACCGCGCGCGCCAAGCTAAGACATTATATGCAAATAGGCCATACAATTCAGTCAAAACAAAACTGTAAACAAGAAATTCGCACAAGATTTTTCTAAGGCACAAGACAATTGTTTACACAATGTGCATAAATAAATATATAAATAAAGGGAGTGGTCGGGGTTCGCATCGAATGCACTTGATAAACGGGACGGGGTCGCACTGCAGTAGGTCAAAGCTTACGTCATACAGGCCCTGGAAACGCTAGCTTTATTGATTGATAGCCAAACAAAGTTATGACATTTAATTAATATAATTGCTTCAACTTTTTTTTCTTTTCGCGAGTTTTGGTCTTTTTTTATGATTGAGATGTATAATATCTTAAATGTTGGGTGCAATGTTGCATATATATTATTATGTTTCTTTCGAAATAATAATTTAATAATTAATTAATAATCATTTAATTTAATTTCAACTGAGCGTATCTATCTTAATTAATATGTTTTAGTTACCTACGTTTAAATAATACGCCAATTTAGTTCGCTGCCAGTAGCCAAAATTTACGCATATAAAACATAAAACATATTAGCAAATGAATGAATGTATGGATAAATAATCGCAATGCTTTCGACTTACCGCGCAATTCCTTTAAAGGCAGATTATCAAACTCCGTCTTCTCCCGGGCATCCTGACGCACCTTCGTCAACTCCTTCATGAGGAGCTCCCTGTGGCGCTTATCTTGTTCAGGATCCACTCCATACTTGGCTAGCATACGAGGATCATATCGGGGATCATCCATTTTTAATCACTTATTATTGTTTGTTTATGATAACTGAGATTTAGTTTTTCAGCTGTTGGCAAGAATGCTTGCTAGTATGTACTGCCGTACCGGCCGGCGTGCCCAATGCCGCGGCTGCGCGGATCGATATAAGTACTGTCGCTATCAATTTTATTAAACACGGGATAATCCGATCTACCATTTGTAATTATCTCTGTAACAATGTTGATAGAATGATTTTGCTAACGTGATTTTAAATAAGTAATTAAGTTTGATCAATCCTTACTGAAAGGATTGGATGAAAACATTGACATGTGTACAAAGTTTATGGGTTTTACCTATTGAGAAAACCAGTGCCTATGCACTCTTTCTCTATACTTAAAATTGTTATTAAAGATTGTGCCCAAGAACTTCAAGTGTCCACTGCCGATGAAAGAACTGTTCTCCAACGGAGAAGGAATGAGCAGTAATGACCATAGTCAAAGCCATAGTTACTCGTAATTTGTAGAGAATTTCTACTATAGAAAAAAAATATAAACTTATTAAAAGTGTGTGTGTGTGTCTGCCTAAATTTTTTTTTAATAATAATATATTAATAAAAGAATTGAAATTAAAATTGGAGTTTGGTGATAGAGAGTGAAACTTCAATTTACAATCACTGATTATAAAGAAAATGCTCTAAAATTAGTCAGGTATTTTATGTTAGGCGTGACACTCGTTATCGTTTAGGGATTCGATAAAAAGGTATTCAAGTCAAGTCAAAATCATTTATTTCAATTAGACCACAGTAAATACTTTTGAACGTCAAGCAAAACAAGGAAAAAAGTATTTCAAGAGCTTTAACATTAAGCGTGTCAGTTTGTCCGTCTGACCTCTAGTGAAGCTATTTGCTCGTTCCAAAGTGTAGGTTCCTATGGAGAAGAACGAGCAAGGAACTCCATGGTTACTCTTTTTCAATCAGTTTAACCGAAAATAGGTAGTAGCCTATTCTCAGACTTACTGAATATGCATAAAATAAAGATTTTTACTCGAAAATTATATAATATGTCCAGGTTTAATCAAAGTGATGGTTGGTGATTTTTGGTTGCTTTTTTCATCGTACTGTCAGTTGCGTAAAAATAGTTTCTGCAAGCCCAAGGCGTTTTCGAGGGGGTGACCTTTCTCAGAAGACATATTTATATAGTATGATCATTATGATAGCCAATTTAAGTAACCCAATATGACAAAATAATATCTGGTTACTAAATAATGGAAAAATGGCAACAAAAATATATTATGTGGGTGGGGTTTCTGTGGGCGCATTTGTCACCAAGTCTCTTTGTATTGGTTATTTATTAGTTAAAGCAATGTTCTTTATCAAGACATTTTTATGTCAGTGGAAAATCATCAAATGACTTCTCCCGCCCAGGGTAGTGCGAGAGAGTGTCTGATTCTTACTGACTAAAAATACCCACCTTCCTTCTCCTGCTCTGGGCCCGAGCCCGCGGTGACTCATTGCACTTGCCCCGCAACCTTGGCAAAGCTAACGTCAGACGGTATTCCAAGACGGTCACCCATCCAAGTAGTAACCCCGCCCGATTTTGCTTAGCTTCGGTGATCGGTCGAGAACCGGTGTCTTCACAATGATATGGACGTTGGCTTGATCAAGGCTTTAAATACCATTTATTACGTACTTTACGCCGTAATGGATCAGACAACAAGGGGGATATTACAAAATAACCTCGGAAACTTTACTCTCACTAGCAGTAAAGTCTGCACGGTTGGCGCTGTTGCTGATTTTGCTGTTGCTGCTGTTTGATTCCCTTACGGAACAACTCTTTGTGTGATCCACAAATTGTGGTTTCGGGTGTGGGTGTGATGTGAATGTGAAACTGTATGTTTGTAAACGCACCAACTTCACTGGAGAAAATCTAAGGGTGGGGCAAACTTTATTCGTCCGCTCGTTGGAATAATCTGGGAGTTTAGTGCTTGATAATACAAACGTAATACAATGTATCATGCCTCATTTATGTGGATCTTGTGGAATATAGATCTAATTTCTGTGCGTTTAAGACAAGTCACATATCTATTACTTGAAACAGGTGTAACAACTTACCTATAAAATTCAATAGATTGCTAGCCTAAAGACACGGCTCAGCTTAACTGTGACGACACGATCGAAAATAGATACCTCTCGAACCTTCTGTGTCCGGAAAATACCTGGAACAGGTACGACAGATAGAAGGCAAGCACGCTGTTGTGTCTGTCTAGCCACTCCTCAAACGCCACCTTCGATAAGGACAGTCTTTGTTTTCACTTCACCATGAGATCGCGCCTGATCTCGATTCAAGAGAACGTCTCGATGAGAACGTCGGCCATAGTGGCGCACACGTGCGAGACGTAACCATATCAAGGAGGATCTCCACTTTCCCGGAGATCACGCAATATCATCCTCTAGGAGGCAAGCACTCACGTACTTGCCGCCGCCTTAAATAAAAGCCCCAAAGGGAGCCATGGCTCTCCCAATCCCCGAATATAAATTTAAGTAGAGTAGTATCCGTTTGACGTTGACGTAGACACAAATGTAAACTTTTACAAAAATATTAATCATTTCATCCTAAATGTTGATTTCTGCATGACACATCTCATCATCACATCACACTTGTAGTTATAAGTGTGTTTCTAGTTTTAAGGAATAAGGGACAGACATAAAAACATTAAAACTACAACGCAAATTTTATTTTACGCAAGAACATAGTCCATAACAGACGGTGCCGATGTTCTGCTGGGGTTGCGCAATGAGGTACTTCTGCCTCAGCCAGGACCAGGGGTATTTTCAGTCAGTAAGAGTCTGACTCCTTCTCGCCTCCCCTTGTGCGAGAGAAGAGACGGTGCCGGTTTTCTGTAAAATTGTGGTATATCATTCCGGTCGAGCCAGTTCAGGCATATCGAACCATAACCCTTTCAAGTTTAGATAAAAAAAGCTATAGATTTTTGTTTCACATTTGGCCGAAATGATGGTAAGTAATAATGCACGTAACTTTAAAAAGCCAATCAGAGTCTAACAGTTCTCCTCTCGTCAACTCTGGGCGAGATAAAGAAAGAAAAATTAGGTGTATTTCCCCTCTCAAAAAAGAGTCATACTTTCTCGTCACCATAGTCTTCGACCGACCTCATCACTTACGACTACCTGATTAAATAGATCTTAATAAATATGGGCCTAAAGACATTAAAGATATTTACCGTATATTTCACGCTTGGCTGGCGAGCGAGTTTCGGCGCTGATGATAACTAAATTCATTGGTTGACTAGAGTGCTGAACTAATATGAACAAAAAAAACTTTAATCATTGCATTCATTTGTCGTCTCGCCTGTACCGATTCGTCGCACGCATGCAGCGTCGGAAAGTGATTGAGACAACGTTATTCAATACATCTTTTGTCTCGCTTTCAATATTGCGACGAGGCATTCTGAGGTCATCCAAATGAAAATTCATTTTATGATGCTACTTATTATTATTTTTCTGTTTATACTGTTAAATTAACTAGGAATAAAATTATTGATTTATTTTGATTAGGTTGGTAGTCAAAGAAGAATGTTGAGTGGTTGCAAGTATGGCTACTTATCAAGAGTCCGTGGTCGATTACCGGGATAGGGAAAGTTTTATTGAAGTAATTCAGCGTATTGTTGGCAGTGGCAGCAGTGGTGTCTGATAAATCTGATCATTTGCGATCTCTGAGCTACTTACAGAAAATAAATGTTAAAGAAATCCCCTGATAATTAGAGGTACCTTATTGTACAGCAGTATGCCATCATGAGTTGTCAACACTATATTTCTGAACAATAACCAAACAACACAATACCCGCCAGAGGCCAGGCTATCTATACATTATTTACACTGAACATTTCTTGCAGGTGAAACATGAACCCCAAGATTTTCGGACTCTCCTAAATCGTATCTTTGCAATTGTATAGTTTAGGTATTACGTTAGTGTCCGGCGTGTGGGTGTAAACGGCGAGTAAGGGTAGCTCACCAATCGATCAGAACCAGACCCAAGCGTACGGCGCGCACCTCAATGAGCCAATAGACCACCACAGACGGGGCTCTTTAGGGCAGATCTTCAACTGGGGTTGCGGGGCAAGCGCGATAAGTCACCGTGGCCTCGACCTAAAGCAGGAGAAGGAACGGAGGGGTTTTTAGTCAGTAAAAGTCTGGCACTCCCTGCCGCCTAGCACTTCTTCCGCCCAGGGTGTGCCTGGGTGGAAGAAGTCGTTTGATGATCTTCCCTTCACAAAAAAAGTATGACGTTAGAGCTATCGTGTTTTTCGTTTCAGTTATTATTTAATACCGTGTAAATTATTGTAACCTTTGTCTCTATTAATTTTTTAAACATTGATCTATTTAGGATTTTTTTCTATGATTGTATCATACAATTTCAAATCACTCAAAAATTGTAGACCACACAAAGAGTTGTTCCATGGGGGAATGGGACCCACGAGCGTTACAAGGTAGGCGGTCGCCTAGCCACTGCGTCAACTGTGCAGTCAGCCAAATATTGAATGATATATCGATAATTTATAAAAGCTATTGTATTATCTTATTCATTATGTTTTCCAAAATGTAGTCACGGAATCATAATTAAAATCAGATGACACGAAAAAAATATTTTGTTAAAGTCCGTTATACAGAGCTGCATGACAATATTATACCTATAGTTCCAAAAGAATTGAGATGAAGCCGACATTTCCTACCCGTCTACTATGAGAGGAAATGTCGAACCAAACTGAGTTATTTTCAGCATTCATAGTCTAAATATGTCACATATAGGATAATGACAAGATAAAGATAGTTTGTTTGAAAGATAAAGACAAAGTGTATGAAAGTTTTGTGTTACAAACATGACAACATGACATGTGCAGACCGTATCTTATAGCAGCTCATTGCCAAGCCTTACTACCTTCTACTATATACTATGAATGTATTTCAGTAAAGAGATTGTTCAGCGTTGTGTTTCGCCGTGTGAGTGAGGTTACCGGAGGCCCAATCCTTCCCCTCCCCCAATCTCTGCTCAATCCCTAAAGCTCCAAATCCCTAATCCCTAAAAGGTCGGCAACGCACTCGTAACTACTCCGTTGCGAGTGTCCATGGGCGGCGCTGATTGCTTACCATCAGGTAATCCGTCTGCTAGTTTGCCGATCGTTTGCATAAAAAAAGAGATACATTTTCTACATTTTTTTACTACATTTATGAGACTTTTTAATTAATTCATGAATTTTAATTTATTTCAACAGAATATTATAGTTAACATCTCTAAGAACTACTTAGTTTCTAAAGCCACAAAATAAGCACAATATGTTTGTGTTTCCTTCTGGTTTTAGGTACTAAGTCAAATCTTCCTTGCCTCTAGAGAGCATAATAATATTCTAAGGATTATTAGTGTGTGTAACAAAGGCGCTTTTAGCAGGCGGAGAAAATTAACCTATAGTATAAGCAATTAAATCTGACAGTTACATTAATGTAATATTATGAAGAAACAGTTACTTTTATTATACATAATTATATGAATACGAAGGAGGAGATTTGTTACTGCTGTTCAAATAAAATGTTGTCTTTCAGAAGCATTCCAATCTTTTATAGCATATTACGAGTTGGATACTCATATATTCTTAACAAAATACTCTCTCAACGGACAAACTTCAGCAATGTAAGCATCAATGCATAAACTTTCATGAACGGAGGATCTAATATATTCTATACGACGGCTACGGCGTAGCACTACTACGTCGTAGTACTACGCGATCGTAGCGAACTTCAAAGCTTTGAATACGTGCCAATTTTCGTGACCTTGGCTTGAATCTTATGTAAATGAGATAAGTTCACTGTCTCCACAAGTTTGGCAATAAAACTTTTGAAAATATAGTCTAATAAAATTATACATACGATAAAACTTACAGAAATATGACACAAGCGATATTTACACTTGAAATCTCTTTTTCATTGAACTAAAACCTTAAAAAACGGTCACAAAATCATTTGAAAGTTACACATTTATTCAGGTTCAATATTTTGACAGAACATGCCAAAATGACCCTTATGACAGGAATGTTTGACATAATGTACCCCTAGTGCTGAAACGTCAAAGCGGAATTGCCTATTTCCGCTTATCACGAACGATAACAGAGTATACATTTGGAGCTAACTTCAGGTTGTTACAACCCTATCAGGGTTGATAACAAAACCTATTTCGATATAAATATTCTATCGACATTCTCGTACATGAATGAAAAGTAAAACCAATTAATAATTATGATTGTCCGTTTTATATACATATACAGCTTTTTTGTAGTATTTTTAGAAAATATATTATTTTATCGTTGAAAAGTTTAGTGTGGCTGTGTAAAAAATACAGGTTGCGTGACTGATAAGGTTGTATTTCACTTAGAGGGGCTATTTCCTTATCACATTGCATTTTACGATGTGATGCGTTTTTCATTTTATCACTTTCGTTTTGCGATTGTTTCTTGTCTTTTGTTGATTGGTTGGTAACCGCGTTATGTTTGGTCTTAGCGTTAACTTAAGTATTATTTGATATGGATTTTGTAATTGCATATTGCAGCTAGGTCTGACTAGGTTAATTAGGTAGTGTCGAGAAGTTATGCATTATAGTAATATTTTTGTGACTTTTCTACGAACTTTGATGTAGTTTCATTTTGTTGCTATTTTTAATTTATATTTAATAAGTGTTTCTTTTAGTTTTTATACTCATACAACAAATTTACTATTAACCTTCAACATTCTCGTTATGTAATTACAACATTAGGTTGTGTAAATATTCGATTTTTGAAATTCTCTTATTTTAAACGAAAGCCAAAATTTCTTGATATTTTTGACTATTTTTTTATTTGGTTTTATGTTTTAAATAATTCTATTCTGTTTTTGATACTTACGCAGCTCACCTGTTTTTTACACACGTTCGCATCTTTCTGCGCTCCACTGCATATGGCGTCTTTCAGCAGGAAACTTGTTTGTTTGTAATTAAATAGTTTTTATACCATTAAAACTTTTTTATTTTGAGAGTTTTTGAAATTTGTTGCTAAAATTCTATCCAATCCTAATATTTTATTCGTTTTTAAATATTTAAATTTATAAAACTTGTAAAATCGTGTAAAGTTATTTTCTATACAAAGCTTAATAAAAATCTTCATCTCAGAAAAAAGACTGGTAAAGTGCATTTTATTTTTTATATTTTTACAACTTAAATCGTCTTATAATTTCATTTCAGAAAGTACACTTTAGAGAAATCATAATAGAATGTTTTTAAAAATAAATATTTTTTAAGTTATCGTTGCAGTGTGCGACTGTACCGTCCCTTGACTATCGCTCAGAATCAGATTTCCTGCCGTCGCCGGGCAGTGAGGTGCGCCGCTCTATGCACATCCCAAACATTGACATTTGGGAATAACTTCAAGGCATTGGCATATTAAACTACTTCAAGCCGATGTAACAAGTTAATATTTTTTCTGGTGTTACTCGGTCAGTGGTCGGTCCGCGCTTCGAAATTAATTTAAACGCGTTGATTAATTATCGCGACTGGTCGTCGGGAAACCAGCTCCGCGGGCCAGGGTCCGTAAACCCACTTAATTTTTCCGGGAAAATTAAGTAAATAGTGCAGGACAGTAGTGCATTTTCCAAAATCAATAACGTGCGGGTCGTTCTATTAATAGAACGCGCCGTGCTGTTACTGTGATTTGTGGTAGAATTGTGAACCATATTTGTGGATTGTGTGTGTTGTGAGTCGTAAATGTGTTTGTAACCAGTCTAGTGTTGTGATACAAAGGTTTGTGTTGTTACTTGTGACTCTCTCGTGTTAAAACAGACCTTACACGGAAGAAAAAAATGGCGTATTAGCTGGAATCAAGATCATCGTCAAATCAACAAGTAATTATTTATTTTTAATTGCTAGCTCCCTTTGTTGATGTCGGAGTGATAAAGTGATAAAAATCATAATATTTGTTTTGATTAGCGAGACGCTACATGCGCAGACTTACTTTAGCATTAAATAAAACAACAATCATTCCACATATAAGAAAAATTTAATAATATAAAACGTGTATGCTACGTCATTTGTCCCCATTAGGGGCGCCTACTATACATACATCAGAAAGGAAACAAAGACACTTAAATAATAATAATAACGAGTTATTTACAATAACCATTATTAATATTACTTGTAGTTGTAAATATTTATGATTAGTAACTATAATTAATTGTTTATATCCGTGACACGGCTCATTGGAAATATAAACGCCGGCACAAATATAAACTAGAAGATAACATATTATGTTTCACAAAAGCTTCGCCCTTTTTAAGTATACTCATATAAAATCATAAAAAAACATTGATGACTATCCAGCATAGATATACAAGCATCTGTTTCCATCTACACATAACAATTAATTAAAACTTTTTCATTTATACTTAATTACAACGACATATGAGAATACATTAAATACAAACTCACCAAAGCGCTTGAAACAAATACTTTTAGTGAAATATTATCAACGAACAATTTTATTTAATAGAAATACAGAAGATTCTCACAGTATCTTACATTCAAAATATGAGTGTAAAGAACTTAGTGACTCCAAGTTTGAACTTTATGAAAATTAGAAACTTGGGTCCAAGCTCATCCCTCAGCATAGATGTTTACAATCAAAATACAGCCTAGGAACATTTATAGTTCTAAAATCATTTTTTTTTTAAGCTAAAAAAGTAACAGTATGTGATGTTAATTCCCTATATAAAATTTACTAGTTTTTTATGTAATTTGAGCCCACACAAGCTTATTTCTGGCTGAGAATATGCCACATATCACAAATGTTCACTCTGGATAGTCTGATACAAAAAAGGCGCAGCTTTTTAGACTGTTGTCAGAAGATCAGATCAGTGACGCAATTTGGCAATTTAATGACGTATTATCTGTGACGTCACCAATGATTTGAGACGAAAGTCTTCTTCTTAATAGTGCTTTTAACCGACTGTGGATTAATAGAGGTTTTTTTTTGTTCTAGGTCAAGGCAGCTTACAGAGGGTGAGTTAATATTTTTTTCATGTCTTTGTAAGCCTTTGAACAAGTGTTTTTTACAAAAAATGTGATCTAAATCGTTGTTTACAGGTATTTAGCCTTATTATGAATTTCATTCCCTAGTTACAACCTTGAAATAACCTAACTATTCAGTTTTATATTGAAATACAGACAACCTTCATGGAGCATAAGTATATAATATAGTGTAAATGTTTACTTATTATTATAGAATATAATTTATTAAAAGTAGTAAAAAGTTATTATCTAACAATTATTATTTCATTCATTATTGTTGTGTAAAAGCTTATAAAGACATGTTTCTAGATTATAAGCATCCTGTATGTTTTGTGTACTATTGTTTCTGTGTAAGAGTTCTTGATAAGCATGAAAAGTACCTTAAAAATATTTTTAATCAACAGCCGGTTAAAAGCGGTCAAAAATCTTACAATATATGATATTCAAAATAACCAGCCGAGTCGGGAATCATGGAATGTAACAAAGCAGTAGTATCAAAAAGATAAATTAAAAAAAGTTATATAAAAAATCTAATAACGGCATTGTTTAGCCAAAATACTATAAAAAAATACACGTGGATACACCTTGCAGCTGAATATATTTTTAAATCATCTTTTAGGGAATATGACTCAAAGCAATTAAGATTTAAGTGTCATTTTCATAATGCAATTACCTTGTCTGTTACATACAATTAGCAAAAATTGACATGAATGAACTTAACCATATAAATGGTCTCACAAAAAAGAGCCTTAAATTTATTAAATTCAATTATTACTCTTGTATGCTTAAACAAATGATTTTATGTAAATGACTCTTAATTCTCAATTTTAGTTCATAAATTTTCAAGGTTTTTAACGCCCCGTTAAATCAACCCTTCTCGATATTGATTTTCGTAGCCTGGCCTGATTTCAGTGACCTTAGTTTTAACTGTTTACAAGGATCACCAAATGTAAACCAATTAAAATTAGGTCACAACTACTAGCTCACAATACAGGTAAAACCTTTATATGTGTTCATCTGTAATTGTTCACGTTATAAGTTATAAGGTCGTGTGCCAAAATATACATTGTTCTCTTCATTCCAAAGTTCTTAATCAAATGGCAAGGCTTTCACCGCGTGTATTAGTGAAATGTAAGATGAGCAAGAGATTAACTTCACAAGTGCCTCGTTTACTTAAGAATAATAAAATTGTGCGTCTTTGTTTACTAAGCTCGTTTTCTTCATGTGGACACGTTGTTAGGTGACTCGAAAACAATGGGTGGGTAATTATAAGTGGTAATTTTCTACACGCAAGGAACTGGACAGTAGACAGTCTTATTATTTAGTTTATGTTTTCAGAAAGTGATTGACTTTACATTTCGTACTTTTGCTACAGACACAAAGTTAATTTCTTGCACGAGCCTAAAGTTTAAATTGCTAATTAATTATAGAATCGGCCTCAAAACATCACTCGGGATAGGGAGACTTAAAAACTATTTTTTAATTATATTTGTAAACGCTTCCCGAGTCGGCGGAATAGAAAATTTATTTAAGAGTTGATTCTAACACAGCCGCGTATCTTGAATGACGAAAAATTCTCTATTTTATATAATTTATGTAAGTATATATATGTATATGTGTTATTAGACAAATGTATATTTCGTTATATATTACGTTTTCTAATACAATTATGACATAGTTTGACATTTATATGGAATCTTGAAATCGATTCTATGGTACCCGCTGATAGAAAAGAGCTATTTTTTCGAACCTCGTGTTCGAAGCCGTTTACGACCGAGGTCAGTTTGTCTACAGAATATAGGAAAATTGCACCGGGCAATTGTAAATCGATACACGGGGAATAATTTATTGTCGATTCAAAAATTAGACTCCGGTACAGTAATCTGTTTGTAGTGAATTATGAATGCAAACATTAGCGTCGCGGTCAGCGGGTATAACAATAATAGGTATGATACAATTAGTATAATGTCCTCTACGATACTACATATGCATTTACCAGCCGTCGTGCATATTACACTATAACACATAGACCATCCATTAAGCGGTATTCATACCAATAACATACATGTTTATAATGTTATCATTTATCATAATAAAGTATAATAAATTTATGAATCACATTAATATTTTTTTTTAGTTTTTTGTTTCTTACATCTATGATTTCACGTTTGTTACACTTATACACATCGATCTAGAAAAAATGCAGAATGAATTAATTATTTATTTTACGTGGTTATTTATGTATGAATATAATATGCTAAATTCGTACAGCTAACACTTGAATTTACGTATATAGCCTAACCCTTAACTCGTGTTTGGTAACACCTTGCTTCTAGCTGGGTGTGAAGCTAGCTAAGGGCGTACACAGGTTCAATCCAAGCTCACGCGGATGATTCAAAGCACTTTACTTACTGTTTACCTAAGCCCCGTCCAGAGACTAGGGCCCTTACCTGCATCTAAATCCCCCTGTATATGCCCGTCATTATCAATTACGTGTACTCAATAGCAATTTTTTTAAAGCAACTAATTGTTCAAATGACTTATATGACGTCATAATACGACATGATTTTTGAGTAATTATTAATAATAATTACATATTTCACAATTCCCTAATATAAGATTTGATCTGAAATATGAGAAGATTTATGTTTTTGAAAATACTTATCAACTTATTTATTTCGTTGAAATTGACATAAAATATTTGATTCATTAAGTATCGCTATTGAACACGTAATTCGGTTATTGTCTACTGTCAAAACAAAACAGTAATGACACATTTAATAATAACCATTTTGACAGTTGACAAACGACGCGAAAATAATAAAATGTTTTTTTTTACTGTCAACGTAAAATATAAATTTAAAAATAATTGAGATTTTTCCGTATAAACTTTGAAATGTTGCCAAAAAAATAACACGTGTATAAGTAATATACTAAATAATAATTTATGATTCAATAAAAGTATAAATAAGTACAGTCACAGTACAAATGTGTTCATCATGTAATTTTTTTTTTACCTACTTTACATGACACCAAACTAACGATTAATATTTTATATTACACTGCCCAACAAGCCTTATATTATTCACAAAAATGATTTCTTGCGTCTTTTAATAACCTTATCACTCTTCAGAGTGGTTTGAATTTTATCTTTGCTGGAGGCATTGTGCACCTAAACTACTTTAAAATAGAGTTGAATACTAATGACGAAAGTATTTTAACCGTGACTGTACGTGTGCGTGGGACCACGATATACAGCATGTCCTTAAAATAGTAGACGGGGGAGAAAGTACCAAACTATGCACTTTTTTAAGGCTTGAAGGTCAAGGTCGGACAAGAGTGATAAACGCATTTAGCGTTGGTGAAGTCAAATTTAGAACTATGGGAATAGGCGTCATGGATCATTCCTTTGAAACAAATAAGACCTTTACCAATAATATCGTATGTATTTTCACTCGTCGTCTCAATGTTTCAGGACAACCTGTATATCGTACTGTGTATAAGTGCAAATGCAGACTTGTATGAGATGGGAATATGTGTGGGTTACGGGTACACGCGCACTCAACGAACCGACGATACAACATTAAATAAAACTCGTCACAAATCTTAAACTAACTTTGTTCGCAATTATAAGCGTGATGCATTCACAACTACATTTTATTTATTTATTATACTATTCGTAATCCAACCAAAATAGGAAGTATCAGATATCAGATCTATTTGTTTATTCTCTCTCGTATTTTTTAATTCAGTCGTGTTATATATTTAACGGTTGACTATATAAAAAAATTGTATTGTCTTATACTTTATTAGAAATAATCCAGTTGACGTCGAGTTCGTTCGTTCGTTCGTTGAGTGTCGTGTCGTGCGCGTGTTCCTTCGTAGTGATGCACATTATACTGTTTTGTATATTTGTAGAACTTATCGAAAGGGAAGACTAAATTATTGGCCCCGGGAGGTATGTAAGTAAAAATGCATAGTTACTGACATTCAACGACGCGCTGTGCAATAATTAAATGACAGTCCAGTATAGTTTACAGTCGTCATTAACTCTAAACTAGTTATACCGGCAACAAGACAAACTTTAGCTAGCAGCCAACTGCCACAACTTGCGTTAGTGACCCAGCAGGTTGACGCTGTTTGCAAGCAATGTCGTCGAATCTAGTAAACAAGTGCTTCTGGTAACTTAATTTACTTCATTGTGATGATTACATGACTTATACAAGATAAGAATAATTTAATATAAAATATAATGAAAAATACTTGTTCAAATATAAAGATACGAAAGTTGATGGTGGTTAGTAGATACCGTAGTAGCGTAGCACTCTCGGTGGATGGCGGAACTTTGTAAGACGTTGCAGTTTCACGTCGCGAGTGTGCTGTGCTACTAGGGCGTAGGCTGGTATAGTGATGGACGCGGCGTCCGAGACCAGTCTTCAAATATTTATAATGGACTTAAATAATAGCGACTGTGTTCCGACCGGCGACGAAACGCTTCGGCAGCGAGCTAATCAGTGCTGTTCTTGGATATTACTGAGATCAAGACTGAACACACGTAACTCGCAGCCGACGGCACTCGTCTCCTCCAGAATCAACGAGGCCCTACACACGTAGCGTCTCATTTACAAAAATACAAAAAAAAACATTATGTACTATAGATGTTATCTTCTCTACAGACTAAAATGTTACTCGACGCTATGTGTGTACCGGCACACCGAAATCAATTAGTGCGCACAATAATAATTCGTACTACTAACGAAATAAAGGCCAGTTAACCGCAACATATCGGAATGAAAGAGTAAAGAGAAAGCTTAACCTAATGAATATAATACGAATTATACAAAATAAACACGAATCTGCGCCGGAGTCGCGGACCAGTCGAGCGAGACGGGCGTGCGAGCGAGACGGACTCTAGGCCGCGGGCTCGCAGGCCGGCGATTGGTCCGCGGCGCCGACTGACATCAGGTAACGCGACGCACTAAGCCTAAAATAATAAAGGTCGTGCTCGGCGTCGGTGGGATCATTAGCCGAACTCCCCAATAAATAATATGACCGCGACTGAAATGCATGTGGGGGGACGCGCGCCCCCCACTCATGGCACACACGCGCCATCGCTACGCGACGACGCCAAAATACACAAAGCTCACAAAATTACATAATACACAACGGCTATAAATTGAACTCTTAGCAACAAAGAACCGTAACGATAAATTGCCGAAACATCAAAGAGATTTTTCCCGAATAAAAACTCGATAAACTTAAAAAAATAACCTTAAAGCGATAGGTGCAATGAGTGTTGACTCGGCTACGATGTAGCGGCATTCTTTGGCTTGACGCTGTATGGAGCAGCGCGCATCACAATCAATTCCGTGTTCACAACTCACGACAACCTATAAACGGAACCACTAAAAATAACGTGTAAATAATAAAAAGTGCGCGCGCGGTTTATTTGCGTTTCCGTGGCGGCGCGCGGACGACGGGGGCCGCGGGCTACGCGTGACGCTTGGCGTGCAGCGCCAGGTGGTCGGAGCGAGAGAAGCATCGCTCGCAGTGGCGGCAGCGGAACGGCTTGGCGCCGGTGTGCTTGCGGTAGTGCCGCGTCAGCTCGTCGGACCGGGCGAAGCGCCATTCGCAGCCCTCCCAGGAGCACTTGTAGGGCTTCTCGCCTGAAATCAACCAAAAACACCAATTAGCAACAAGGCTATAACACCTACATCTCGTAGTAAACAATAAAAATCATTAAAATTGTCAACATAATTGTCATAAAATAAACGAAACAAATAGCTGCCGATGAAGATTATAAAATTAAAATTTTCGCTAGCACTATTACCAACTACCAACTTAATCCTTTATTACTGTGCCACTATGAGTTATTTATTTGTTTGCATACCTACTCCTTACTCCCTAATTTTCGTATGTGATAGATGTGTATGAATATGTACTAATATTAGACTATACTGACTAGTGTTAGGAATTGACAAATTATTGTTTTAAAAGAAGCTCCGGAGCTGGGCAGGCGCTTGGCAAATAGCTTTTCCCACATTAGGGTTTTCTCCTGTGGCATGTGTAATACAAACAGACAATTTTACATACACATCACACCCAGATCCGGAACAACAAGTTGTTGATCACACAAAGAGTTATTCTGTGCGGGAATCGAAACCGCGACACGTTGCGAGGCAGCCAGTTGCCCAGCCACCGCGCCAACCGCGCAGTCATGCAGTCGTTTTGTACGTTGATAAATTGACACAAATATGTGTGTACTTCTATCAAAAAATAGGTCGTTCGCTGCTCTTTTTCTCTTATTAATGGCCTTATTATATAGCTGTTGGGAGCCGCTAGGAAACTACTGCCAATAAATTTAGTATGTCTCACAATAATAAGTTATTAGTAAAAAATAGTCTTATCAAAATGTTGTATAATCTGAAATCAAATACGATATAATCTGAAACGTCATGGCCGTAATAATACTATACTCGTAATGCACGGTTTCTGCACGTTTGGCGCGGTGGCTGGCTGCCGCGCAACGTGTAGTGGCTTCGATTCCCGCACGGAACAACTCTTTGTGTCGATAAATAGCTGGGTCTAGGTCTGGATTTAATGTGTATGTGAACTTATATGTAGGTACCAATCTACAATATCTATGATACAGGAAAAATCCTAAAGTGGGGCAAATAACTATTTGAAAAATAAATATTTAATTTATATCGCTAGCAATATTACAGCTGTTTTAATTAAACAGCCGTGTTTCGCGAACGCGACGTAATCGCCGCTTCCAAACTTCTAATATGATTAGGCTCTAAATAAATCCAGACTGTTATATTACATTTGTCGTTTGACAAAGTTTGTAAAGTTACATGAATGTATTATTCACTGTCAGTACTTACAGTTTCAAGCCATACCAGGGCCTTATATTTTATACGCTACATGGGCAATGGTATGCGTGAACTTTAGTAAAATTTGTTTGATATGTTAAGAGGTAAGTGCTGCCCTCCCTATTAAACTGCAGATAACCTTTACTATTAGACTTTATACAGGAGTAACGAACTAACTTCATAACCAAGTTATCGAGAAGAAAGATATTTAGATCTATCTATACATTTATTTTGTGTCTGTAGTACTTTTTCTGTGATAAATGTAGTGATATGTGTCAGTTTTTATGTAATTTAATTGTTTTATTCTACAACTCTCCCCTGAATGGTGAAACAGCGCCATCTAGTAGTTTTATTCTGAACTAGGTCGTGGCGTTAAACAGTTTGACCTTTTCTAGTTCGACGGTAGTCGGCTAGATAGTGCTGAATACAACACTGTTGTTAATAGGAGACCTAAACGTTAAATAAAAATATTTGTTGTTTTACATATTTTACACTGGATATTATTAAAATGGTGGTATTACGATCGCTAGCTGTTACTTAACATTATATTTCTGTGCAACGCGTTCTAGTACTTTTTATTCCTACTGCCTTTAATGAAACCTAGGGTTCCTAAGCGACTGCAAGGCTCTCGTGATAGATGGCGTTATTTACAACTTAATACTGATTGAAAGTCAGCTGCGTTGTACTGTAGATTCACTGTACAATAAGCTGCCTGCATAGATTTCTAGATGGCGTAATATTAAAATATGTGACTTATTTTTTGCTTTATTGCTGAATGTTTTTGTTCTTTAATTTCGAATTCAGTATGGACATTTTGTGACAGTAAAGTAGGTCACCTACTGTTCGAATCTTCATTGGATTTATTATGCCAAAGCAGTATAATCTTTACTCAAAAAAATAAAAGTTGTCATATGGGGTAGGTTGAATTGCTGGCGAGAGTGTAGTGATAACTTATAACACAGTTATTAAAATGTCATTGCTTTGAAAATGGGTTTTAGCCACGCGTGTTAACTTAGTTGGTAGTCGGTACAAGTTAAATTTCGCTAGCATTTATTGTTTTTGGGTGATTGGTAGAGGCTTATGTTTAGCTGTGCAAGTCTTATAGGTGATGTGAATATGGTGATGGGGAATGTGAACATGTGTTGTGACATACTTACTCCTATTAAAATCATACTTATATAGCATTCGATAATAGATGAACAATAAAGATGTGTTTTCCTTGCTTATCTGCTTAGATCCCTCTAGTCCATTAAGTGTAAAATTGGTAGACATTGGACGCATGAATCATAATACGTTTTATTCAATATTAAGTCGCTTTATAGCGGGCACAAGTGATTGACGGGAACGGAAACACACGAGACAGTGCGGCCCCGGTCCAAGGGGCTTCATATCATAGAGCATTGACTTGATACTTTGTCAATTGCATGGATATTAGCCAGATTAGTAGTATAAGATATTACGGCAAATGTTTAGACTAATGACCTGCTGAGCTGATAGACAAGATAGGGTAGGAAGGGTCATTCACATGGCTTAACGACGCAAGCAACTTTCTTATGGATTGCTATAATAATACTTACCATAGGCAACAAACTCATTGTAAGTATTGAAGGGATAGATACTAACCAGTATGAGTGCGCTTATGAGCCTTCAGGTGCGAGCTCTTGGTGTAGACCTTGTCGCAAGATGGGAACTCGCAGCGATGCACGCGACGGCGTGGGTCAGTGGTATGCGTATGACCGTGATGCCTGGTCACCTGCACCTTGCGAGGCACCAGCAGCTGCACCGGCACCGGGCTGGGAGTTTGCTCTGAAACATTACGCAAATGACATCAGAAGATGTAAAAGTATATCCTTTATTGCCATCATATGGAAAGTTTCGACTGCAAAAGTTTTCTCTTTTAATATTTGGGAGACCTATCTGACCTTTTCTGGTGATATGAAACTGTCAGTGATATTAAAAGGGAAGGTGATCAATGAGCAACTTACCCCGCATTGGCTCTTCAGAGTCGCTCGGTGGCTCACACTTCACAGTGGTGAAGAAAGTGAAGTGTGTGGTGGTAGTGCTCGGAGCCTTGGCGAGGATTGGCAGAGGAGACGGCGGCGACTCTGGCGGTGAAGGCGGTGTGGGAGGCCGAGCCCACTCCTCCTCCTGGCCAGGTTCCCGACGCTTGTTCGGCTCCTCTCGCAAATACCTCTCCATCTCGTAACATGTCTGAAAACAAGTTAAGTTTACCATTAGTCTTGGTACAACCTTTTAAACATCTTGTTCTTTTTGTGTTTGACATAATTTTGTCAGCTTGTCGTTTTAGGATATTATTATCTTAGACCTATATTTGATATTTGCGCAGTTTCATGGTGGACTAGCTAAAGGAAAAGCAATTATATGTTAAATTAAATTGAGAGGAACATTAAATATGATGTACTTAAAAACGTTTCTTGGGAAAACTCATTTTTTAAACTTGGTTTCAAACTGCTACTACATACATGGTTTCAAAGTGTAGAGAAACACTTTTATCGACTGTATTGACCTGAATAGTGCTCAGATATTTTCGATAGCCTCCCTAAGTACTTTTGAAACTAGAACAATTGCAACTTTTGAACTTCCACCGTATTCTGTCATGCAATATTAAAACGGATCGATTTTCTGTATGTTGGAGACTTATTTACAAAACACAACCTTTGCTTAGTATGTTATCAGAAGAATTTAATATCAAATTATTTTTCTGATTCTTTTTTTTCGTTAAAGTATGGAATTGTATTCAGTGTCTGCGGCTACAATCTGATTTAAGTTTTACTGTTAGTAAAGTGTTTTATTATTTTAATCATTAGAAGCGGGATATAAGTTTCATAAAAAAAGGTTTAACTTTACAAGAAAATGAAACATTTCTTTCAATATAGCATCTACATTATTGATTATACCTATCAGACCTATTGAATATTAGAGTTCCTTTCATTAAATTTTATATAATAAATAAAAAAGAGCTTTAAAAATACGAAGCAATAGAAAGTCTTTTAAGAAATTACCAGCGGGTGAAAAGATTTCAAATATATGTAAAATTACACTGCGTGAGCTTCAAAAAATAGGTTTATGATCTAATTTAATACTATTGTAGAAAAAAAAAATAGAAAATTAAAATAATTCTAATTTTATAAACGGGCAGACGGATCGCTTGATGGTAAGCAATCAGCGTCGTCCATGGACTCCAGCAACTCCAGAAGATTTACAAAAGCATAGGCTTGGATTGGCATAGACTGGGTTGGTTAGAGATTAAAAAAATTTCGAAATTGGAACAATTGGGCCTTTGGGCACCTCACACATGGACAAACACAGCGGAATACAACGAACAAGCGTTGCTACATCCGTTGAGCCAGCGCATTAGTGCCGAAGCATGACTCTCCCACAAATTAATACAAGTTTTGTATTCTTAACCAACGGAAAGGAAAAGTACAGTTACGTGGAGGGAAGGGGTATCCTTCTACCGTTCGATTGCATACAGGTTCAACGTGGAGTAATAACGATTGCATTGCACTCTATTTACTGTTCATTTAACTAGTGATGGTTATTCGTAACTTTTTACTCGTTTAAAAATAAAATGTTTTTTCTTTGCCAAAAATTCATGCAATGCCAGACATTATTGTGGAGAGGATAAGTGGTAAATGGTTTAAGTATTAACAGCCGATTTTATCAAATAGTAACACCAGACTCCATGTGCCTACTTCTGAGCAAAGATCTCTTTTCACACGGATAAGGTTTGAGCATTAATCACCAGGCTAGCTCAATGCGAATTGGCCGCCAAGACATTTGGTTATACATAAATTTGTTATTGGGAATATAAATACCATGCGATTCTTACAATGACTATATTATCTCATATTCGACCAAATCGGCATTATTTTTGTCTTTGCAAAGTTGCATTATGGTAGCTAGGTAGGTCTTTTTGCAACATGTTATTTGCATTTGTTACATAGAGAAACAGATTGCTCATCTTATCTTATAAATGAAATGGCTCATGTATCAAATATTAACTAAACAGCACAAAAGATTTGAAAATTCTCTATTCTTATCTGTCTGTGGAAAATTGAATTCAAATTATTTTAATAATTTTGCGTAAAAGGTGTTACAAAAATTCGTACACTTATAATTTCAATATTATAGTAAATGTTATAAAGCCCTTTAATACGGAATGTTGCCATGCTTTGTTCCTATAAACATAGGTTCAACGACCTCCTCCAAGGTTAGTAAGCACTAGTACCAAGACTCGACTAACGGTTAAGTTAAACCAACATATATTTTCCTATAACAATTTAACTGCCCGACCTTGGTAGTTTGTCATAAGGTTGAATATTGTATGATAGAGTTAAAATAAGGTGTAATTACATTATGGTAGGATTAGCCCATAGTAGAATTTGTTGTATAAAAAAGCGATTTGAACGATTCAATCATTTATTGTATTGTTTTTATGATTGGCGTTTGATAGGTAATTGTTTTACGTGGTCAAAGATTCGTTCGTCGATAATTATTTTTAGATCATCGATTATTTTTCCTAGCGTTCAACGTGGAATAGCTATTCCAAATATGTATAAGTAATTGTGTTTAAATTTTATTCGTTAAAACGTTTATTCGATCCTAAGCCTAACATAACTTTTGATTCTAGTTAAAATGAAATTCAACGTAGATTGTAATAAGGTTTATCTTTGAATGTATCAAATCTGAATACCCTAGAAGTTATCTAACATTCTATCCAAATCTAGAATGTGTTGTAATTCCTACGAAAAGTCATTTAATACCTTGAAACAATGTCGTGTGTGAAAGTAAACAAATAATACATCTATCTAGACTGACGTAAAACGCATGTTATTGACAACACACAATACTGGGAAAACTCTCGTTCTAGTGGGAAATATACAGACATACAACTGTTTATTTTCATATTTATCGAGGGAAAGTCAATAAAAACAGCGTTATTGTTTGGATTTTCGAATAAATCACAAGTACGAAGCTTGAGGTGTAGCAAAAGATATATAAAAATGAGGATTGATGCATTTATTGTCATCATCATCAGCCTATAAGTGTCCACTGTTGAGCAAATGCGTCTTCTTACAAGGAGAAGATTTGAGCACTAACCTACGCTAGCTCAAGGACGATTGGCCATTTCAAACTTAGAATAAGCAATTTTTAGTACTAGGATTCCCTACGACGTTTTTTTTGATGGAAAGCAATCTGCGCCGCCCATGGACATCCTCCTACAACGGAGGAGTTACGAGTGCGTTACCGACTTTTTTACGATATTAGGGATTTGGAGATTTTGGGATTGGTTGAGGGGAAGGATTTGTTGTGGGCCCTTGCTAACCTTACTCACACATCGAAATAGAACGCTGTAGTTGTTAGAGGCATGTAAGACCTGGGGCATTCTTCGTTGCATTAACAAATAACTAAAAAAATGTGGTAAGGATTTTAAACCGCGTTACACAATAATTAAGTTGGTAAAGACATTGAATAAGTGCGACTCTGCTTACCCCTTTGAAATTAAAAGCCTTGATGTTCAGCAACGAGGAGTTATTCGACTAATATATTCGCACGTGGGCGTCGCTAGACTAGGTTGTTGCCCCGTCTATGTCTATGATTAAATGCTAAACTTTTTTATATGAGCCACGTCAGTTTTATGTTAAATTGATTGACAGTACAATACTTGCTTTCCGATTTTTTTTAAATTAAAATAATAAAATGTATTATAATACATATAATAATGCTAGTTTGTGGAGCTGAAATGTCCCATTTTCGCGTAAAGCAATATACACAGTAGGGAGTCGTAAATAATATTAAGAAATTTTAGAACCAATATGCTATATCATCACATACATACTTTTTGTATTTTGTGAAAATTAAGGCAAATTTAATAATGGAATATGATGATTAAGCACAAAAACGACAAATTTCTTAATTTAGCCGTAGGTATATAGTAGTCTCAAGTAAAAAAAATACTGCACGGTTTTCGCGGTGGCTTCCGCGCAACGGGTTCGATTGCCGCACGGAACAACTCTTTGTGAGCCACAATGTTGTTCTATGTGAAATTGTATGTTTTGTAAACGCACCTACGTCACACACGACTTAGTGTGGAGCGATATGTTTTTTTAATAAAAATAAAATATAAGAAATATCTGGAAGCCTGTATATACATACAGGCTATATATTACCCCGGTACTTTGAGTCAAAACAGTGGCGAAAACAAGTACTTAATTAAATTTATTGTTGTTAAGATTTATTCACATTTACAGCAATTTGTTTCTTCATAAACGCATTTGCGACACTAGAGACAATTTTTTCCAAAGTCAAAGTCAAAAATCATTTATTTCAATTAGACCACAGTAGGCACTTTTGAACGTCAAGCAAGCAAAAAAAGAAAAAAGTATATAATATGAGCTTTAAAATTAAGCGTGTCAGTCTGTCCGTCTGTCCTCTAGTGAAGCTATTTGCTCGTTCCAAAGTGTAGATTCCTATGGAGAAGAACGAGCAAGAAACTCCATGGTTACTCTTTTTCAATCAGTTTTACAATACATTTCTTTGTTACATAATTTAGTCGGTTCTGATATGTGAGAACAATGTAACACTAATGTTCAGGCAAAAAGTACGAAAAAGAAGTGAACCTCAAGGACAACATATTTAGACAGCCTGGAGATGACCAGTCCCAATTGGCGGCGCCCGTTCACGAACATGACACGTACACCAGCACCGCCCAACTCAACCATATTATAGGGAATTGGGCGATCCAGTGCCCGTGCCACCGCCAATGAGACCTCTGAGTGAGCATGACAGCTCCCAGCCGACACAAGTACCTATATTCTACAAGTCTTACTTAATTATAATAGGTTACAGGGTACTCACATTTACAAAAACTTAGAAGTTCATCAAAAATTAACAACATTGTGTACAATTTAATAATTAAAATCAAAAATTCCTCTAAACATCCTGTGGAGTAGGACCAGCTAGCCTCCAAGCATTTTTATCTTGTATATAATCATTTAGTTTGTAGTATGCTAGTTTACATAAATGTTTCTTTATACATAATTTAAATTTGCTTTCATTTAGATTTTGAATTTCAACTGGGATTTTATTATAACATTTTATAATTGTAATAAATTGTAATAAAGATCCATTCTTTTTGTCATAACGACAATCTGCAAATGGTAGGTCCAAGGTATCCAAATGCAGGT